GTGCCCCGCCACTTCTGCACATGGTCTGCCCTTGCGTACTGCTGCATATTTGACGGGGAAAACCTAAATTTCGCCAGAAATCCCGGAATTTGCCTTTAAGAGCCCAAAATTAGACTTCATTTCTCCGTTCTTGTTTATAGTTAGATACATTTTGTGGGTACACACATGCGATTTCCCTGCTGCTCCTTGAATAATCGAAAGTTGGTGATGTTCCAGACCGTTTGTTGGCCCGGCTCCGCTCGCAGAGCAAGATTTTCAAGAGAGTGAGAAAGATTACTAAATACTTTATGACAATAATACAGTGAATGACGACCTTTTTTCAAAAAAGAAGCTGGGTTAGCCAGAACAGTGTGGTTTAGGAAAAATGTTCAAAATCGCACAGAGGTACAAGTGGAGGCAAGCAAAATTGTCAGCAAAAGTGTAGGTAAAACATGGAGAAGGGAATACTTAGGTAATTAAGAAGAAAGGGAACAAGTGACAAAGCCAAAAAGAATTAAAAGAGCTGAGGGACGAAAACTTTCAAGCGGGAACGTGCGATAAAAATTAAGGGGACAACGGTTGTTTGTTGGAAAGAGTAGAGATGTTGAGGGTCAGTTGCGACTGACTTCTGCGCTTCCCCAGCAGTAGCCGACGTACACTAGTGTTGATTACAAGTTGTAGCCATACTGGGATCGTTGCCATGATTTCATTTTCATAATACCTAAATGCATAACGATTTGTGAAGAGGTCGCAAATATGGAAGCGCAGAAATAAGGATAAAAGGATAAAGCATTTGCCGTTGATCAATCCCTTTTTGGGATGCGGCACGCATTCTACTTCCATTTGTACATTCGTAGTGGCGTTTGAATGCGATGTGGCCTATACAATGACTTGCGGGGGCCAGCCGATGTACAAGTCAGTGTTTTTATCCTCCCAGACAAGTCTGGTACCAATTAACCGACCCCGGAGGGATGGAAGGCTTGGTTGGCCCGGGCGACTCACGACCCAGGATTTGATCCCCGGACCGCTCGCGTGGTAAGCGTGCCACTTGCCACTACACCACTTCCGCCCAATACATAGTAATAGAAAATTATCGGTGGGTGGTCATTCCGATCATAACTCCAAGCCGTGAGTAAAAGCAAAATCTGCTCGCTCTTGTAGCTATTCTATCATGAAAATATCAAAAAAATAATTGAAGCAATTATTTCAGTTCCCTCACTCTCGATCAGCACACTACAACTATCACGAAATTCAACACAAATAATTTCCTGATAAGAAAGGGAAAAATTTACCAGAGCTGAATCGCAAAACGAGCCAGCACACTATTCTCGCCATGTGCTGTCGCCAAAAACAACGTGCCGATAAAGTTAGGTAAGAAACCAGCAGATGAGGCCAGAGCACACAGTAGCAGTCGTCGTTCAGCATGCTAAATTAGAACATGAAGACACAAATCCTTGTTTCGGGTGAGCCTAGTCGCCGGATTCTCGGTAAAACTTCAAGGGCCCTAGAAAAGATCCGCGGAAAGACCTCTTTCCACGGTAAGTTCGTTTCCTGGTAAAATTCAGCACATTTCCTACTCCAAGGCCAAGTTCTTGTACGCCTTTTCTGGGAATCGTGAAGTATTGAATACAACTAGACTAGGGGATTAGGCAAAATAGTATGTTCAAGGGTTATTACAAACGTACAAACTGCTTTGAACTTGCGCTAAAAAAGCTATGAATTAGCCAGTGAGCATATTTTCGAGTGGATCAAGGCTAGCAACCATTATTCGCGTTACATTTTGCTATGTTGAAGGCATTTTGGCAAAAGGAAGCATCGGTCAGCTCTCCAGCTTTGCCTAAGTCAAAGTGAATTGAGTTGAGAAAGGGAGGCTTCAGGGCAGGCCCGCGTCTTGTACCGGTTTCAGGGAGTTTACCTACTTACAAGGAAACCCAACCTCGCCTCCTTCTCTCTCTCTCCCCTCTCGCTCCCCGGAGAAGCTGTCGACCCTGCATGAACTAATGGAGAGCTGGAGGGTGCACCAGCGTGGAATCTCGCGGCTACGTCGCTCGCTTTGCTTTGGAGCACGCATTCCCTCTTTCAGACCATGGAAAGGAGACCAGAGCAAATTACTTGCCTTGCCCTTCACTGGTCGACAAGAATGGGACCACATCAACATCCTTCACACTTGCTTCTAGTGTTCAAGATTATTCTCTCCTCCATTTCGAGAATCAAAATTCATGGAATCCATGGAAATCCACTCTTGTTCCACGTGTAGGGCATAAGTTTGGATCTTTTTTCAAAATGGTCCTTGCGATGCAGTAAGGAATGTAAGGAGATGGAAGTAATTTCCTTTCTGAATTATTGCAAAAGTATCGTGTAAGGTGAACTTGTGGAAAATCGTTCCGATCTCCCGTTTTTTGTGCACGTGTGAGTCTTTAATAATCGAGTACTTATGACTCTCTTCAAAATCATCTCCTTACAATCTGTATGCTTCACAGGGAACCAGAAGATAAACCAGAAGATATAAGCTTTCCAAGCTGAAGTACAAAATAACTTCAGAAACTCTGAGTCAAAAAGTAGCCGCTATTTTTCCTTGAGAATTTGCTCAGTTTTGGAAACATGTGAATTTTTCGGTTTGTACGGTCGGCTTTCTTCAAAACCAGAAAAACCGTGAAGTTTCTGAAAAGTACTAAAACTCTTCTGAAAAACTACCGACTCGAAAATCATTTTTTCAAAATTCAAAATTTACTCTTTAGTTAGCACAGTCAACCCCTCTATGGAATACCATTGCCTCGCTCTCCACTTTAACACATTGACGACAACGCGCGTTTTGGCTTTTTTGGCCACGTGGGCCATAGGAAGTTTGGCGGGCGCGATCTCTGAGACGCGCAACCGCGTCACATCATCCAACAAGGTGTGCAAAGTGAAACGCGCAAACGCGTCTCATTGTCGTCAATGTGTTAAAGTGCTAAGTTTTTTGTGAAGCATTTTTCTGAGCATGAGTTTATGCTAAATTTGCCCGTCGCACCATTCGCACCTCTGCTTTCATACGCGGCGACATCTAAGGATCGTGGCCAGTGTTTTTGCCAACGGACGACTCCACCCCAAAAAAAAACAAACAAAACATCAAACATTACCGCGGTTCCTCGCGTAGTTTGGGAACGCTTGAAGAATGCAAGTGTATAACATATTGTGCACAACGTCACTGTCGTAGCACCACGCACACAATTAATTATAGAGAAAACCTAAATATGTGTTGTTCGATAGGATCGGAATTCGCTTCGAAAATGGCACAGATGTCACCGTACAGGGTTCAAGGTAGTGCTAGTCGACATAAATTCTCCCTCCTTGCTGGCTACGAGGTAAATCGTATTCTCGTGTAGGTAGACGAGCACTAGAGGATATAGAATAAAGACTGACCAGAGACTGAAAACGATTGTGAATACTCTGGCTCGACTCCAAATCTGAAGAAAAAAGATTTGATCAGAGCTGCATTTATCTCACAAAGGGCCGAACAGTGTAACGCGCTAACAGATCGCTCCATTTGGTTTGAAAGCTTAACAGCTCAGAGCTCGAATGATTTCAGTGAGTAGGCTGGAATGTGAGCTTCAAAATTCACGGGATTATGCCAGAGAAAAAGTAAGGGTTTTGTCTCAAAACTATGCTCTACTACTCAACAACTTTTCTTCCGTTCGGTAAGATGGCTCAGCCATCTTCCAGGTGAGCTTCTGAAGCACCCAGTGCCAACACTTTCAGAAGAAAATTGAATGAACTCAGTCTGCTAGAAATGTCCTACTGAGTAGGACGAGTGGATAACTGTTGCCCTTCGATATCTTTGTATTTGTGAGATACGGTGAATGTTATTAACAATCTGCAAATTGGTATTAACATATCCCTAAACTCGTATAGTAGCTCAAAAAAGAAAGCAAAAAGGGAATCGCGCTCTCGGCACCACAGGCCTACCGTATACAAAAACAATGGCCGAAGAAAATCAGCGCAGAACTATTAGCTACCATTTCTGTGTGTGAGGGGCTCAAGTAGGCAGTGACTACCTACAGACAATTGTTAGGCTTAACACTGTATGACGACCGTAGAAGTGCAGGTCAGTCTGGGCAACGCGACCAACCGAAGTTGTTCCGAGGCGGGCCAATTAGGCGTTTCGATCTAACACACGAACCCAGAGCAGACCCTTATTGCCCTTATGGTGGTGAGGCTCAAAAATACGCAGTAGCGATAGAGAAAGTGCAATGGGCGTGAAGCCTGGGAATGTAGGAGACGCTCTATAATAAGCCGTATAATACCGATTTGCAGATGTTATACAATTACCGTATTAATAAATCCTTCTATTTTATAAAGCGCTAACTTTGTGTGTCGGTTTGTGTATCTGTATGTGTGTGTGTGTGTGTGTATGTATGTGTGTCCGTCCGCAAAATGAAGTGAGTGAGAAGGAAGCTCATGGGATAAACAAACCGCTAACAAATCGGGTA